GGCTATATTTTAGTTAAAATAAGGCGAACAATTGTGAGTAAATTCTTAACTTAAGTCTGAAGATGGTTTGTGAACTCGGGGACTGCTGAAATTAATCGGTATATTACCCATGGAAATGTATGCACCACCATTAGTGCTGATAATGTCCTAGAAAGAAATGGGGTCACTAGTCCGCCGCTATAAGAAATACTATAAATATGGGTATCAATAAACCTAATCCGAACCCTAATAGATATCGTGAACCGTAACTCAACCCCTAAGATATATCGGCGGACTAATGAACCCGCGGACTAGTGAGCATTCTCCCTAAATATAGAGAATGTTTTTGAATTATACTCGGATCATGAAGAGGCAGACACTAGACTTTATGCTACCCATGTTTTATTTTAAACCGGGACAAAAAAAAGTCAAATATTAAACACACTAAAAGTGATTGAGTAACTTGGGCCTTAAATTTCATTAGCCTTGGATGGACTTCATACATTCACTGGCTGTGATTCAACAAGCTGCTTCCATGGAAAAAGCCTTATGAAGTAATGATTATGAATCATAAATACGTTCGGCTGTGATTCAACAAGCTGCTTCCATGAAAAGGGCTAGGAAAAGAAGCCTTATGATTAGGAATCAGAAATACGTTCAAGCCGTCATAAAACTTGAAAGTAGTTTCACCCTCGATGAAACCCCCTTTAACATTTTTGAAGAATTTGTGATTTGTATGGACAGTGCCATATAAATTATGTTTCAAAACTTATTCTGAACAAAGTCTTTTCCCATCTAAAGATGCCTTGATTTTACATATTAAAAGATGTAACTATCAAGCTGCAATTCATAGGCATTCTATGAAAAATGTTATTTCTCCTCCACTCCCGTCAGAGCATGGGTGGAATATAGCTCATGACATTTCAATAAAATGAATGACACTTGATCCAGCGCCAGGGGACATTGTAAAATATGTTCATTGTATTTGCAAAACAAACTGACTCTAAATGATGTTGGTGTAGACGTGCAAATCTCTAATGCACCGATCTTTGTGGATGCAAGGATTGCGATAATACTATGCTTACAACAACAGAAATGGATGTTCGTGTAGACTTCCAAATCTCGGATGTAGGGACTACAATAATACTATGCTTACGACAACAGAAATTGATGCTGATGATTTATCAGATGATGATATTAATGAGTATTGATCATAATCATTCTGATTGACCAACCCGAACATACAATAATATATGTCTTCTTGATGCGCCAAATCCACCCATAAGCATGGTCACAGCGCTTTTAAGAGCAATACACAAGTCTATTCAATGAAAGTCTCCATAAGATTTTTTGAACAAATGAGATTTTAATTGGGTTTTGCTGTCGCAAATATTTTGAGTCCTTTCAAACATACTATTATGCATTGTTATTGTTATGACTGTTTTTTCTAAATTTATCTCCCTGTTGGGCATTTTAGTAAAATACAAAATTAATAATATTTTTGTCTTATTTTGTGCATTGCCTTTAGGGGATGTCAATTGCTGTACTCTTTGCACGTACATGTAGCATTGTTTTGCCTATCAAACAGACACAAGCAATAATCGGTGGTTAATAAAACATTCTTCAATTTAATTTATGTTGGTTTGCCACACCCCCACTTGATGAGAAATTATATATTAGTATAGCGGTCTAATGTACATATAATTATGGTCTGATGGGAATGATAGTTTGGGGACTCGCAGGTTTATTTGACCCCTCTCCTAGCTGAAAGCCCCGCCATAAATCTTGTTTTACTCAGCTAACGATTTAGTCAAATTTATTGTAGCAGAAATATAACCATCATTCATTAGATCTACTAGAGAGATTAAGAAATTACTCAGTTATTTTTTCTCCAATATTTGATGTCGATATTGTATGTTGAATTGAATTCAACTTTCCCATGAAATAAATTTACTTTCAAGTTAAGTTATTTTTATGTAATTGTCTACTTTTAAAAGTTATCCCCATTCAGGCTTGGGTTTCCTTTTTATGGTTCATCTTTGATTTATTTTTATGTTTAGTATGGTCTGTTTTTTTTCTTTTTTGGAAACTTGTTCAATCTGGTATTCTTGAAATAATCGTAGATATAGATCATAAGTTGTATAAACATGAAATAGATTTTGCCAAAAATCAAATGTAAAACTAAATGTACGTGGATATAAGGGTAATACAGTATACAACACATGCATTACTATGAAATTGCCATTTAATTAAAAAAAACAATTGACGGATTAGGATTATGAAATATTGCTACGCCAACATCAAAGCGTAACGTCACATTGGTATTTTATGTGGACTACTGTGACAATAAATGTTATATTATTTATTAAACTAATATAGTAATCAATACTTAAAAATGTTGACTATGGGCGAAGGAATATACATACTTACCTCGATGTCGGTGTTGAAAGTGGAATTGAATTCCACATTTCCTTGAAAAAGATTTACTTTCGCGTTGGTTACTTTTATATAATTGTCAACTTTAAGTAGCTGAATAATTTCGGGCGTTGGTTGCCACATTGTTATAATTGTGGAGTCTGTGTCATCTCTGATTTTAATTTTTTTAATACGGATTTTTTGCTGTTTTTTTTAAGACTTGTTCAGTTTGGTATTCCTGAAATAATCATAGATATATGATCATACGTTATATAAACACAAAAAGTAAAAGTTAGTAGATATAAAGATGCAAGACGGGGGGGGGGCCTGACAAGGACAGCTGTCTAGTCGTTCGGATGGGATAAAAAAAAAACCGAGGTCCCGTTTACATACTGGCGTGCACGTAAAAGATCCCTTGGCAGTTGGAATTCGATATAAGAGTAGGCCGTAGCCCCGCTGCCCAGGCAAAATTTCCCTCATATAAGAGTAGGCGATAGTGCCGCTGCCCAGGCAAAATTTCTCTCATAGCACACTGTATGGCGTATGCCCGTCTCCATAGCCCAGTTTAGGTGCAGAACAGTAGGACGTTAAACCCCATTTCATTTCATTTCTAATGGCCAGGGCGACCTTCGGTTGCACGGATTTCCGTACTCTAGTCGAAATAGCTACATGCGAATGACATTTAGTTCAACCATGCGATAGAGGACGGTCGAGATAGTTCAAAGATGGCTGAAAAGACTGACACGTTTGTAGATTTGTATGAAAAATATAAAATTGTCAATGCGTTATTTACACCATGGACCGTATTTCAGGGTTCATGGTAACACCTAGTTTGGAGAATATATATAGGCCCACGACAAAACACTTTGTGAAATGATCCATGTTACCAGTTAACCCGGGTGGAGTCATTTTTGTACAAAAATGTTTTAAAAGCATTAATTCATCCAAATCGTCAACATATAGTTTTAAAATTGAGTAAATAGCAGAAAATATAGCAGGCGAAACAACTGACATGGGCGCCGCCATATTGAATAGCCAATGGTCCGGACCATTTGCGTTCGGGTGCTGGTTCAGACTGTAGTCGCGACCATAGTCTACATCCGAAAGTCGCCCTAGTCGCTCGGACCATAAATTGATCCACATTTCTTTAGTAGATGGCTCGTTCTAATGGCTTCCTCATTGTGTATATGTCGCAGCTATATGCGGCGCCTAAATAAAAGTTTAGACTCGCTAGGGTGAGGACAAATGATAACACAAGATGGTTTAAAAGTTTATATAAATATCAACAATATCACATAATTACATGTACAATAATATAATGATCATTCCGCGAACGCGGTTACAGGTTAAAGATGAAGCATCACATGAAGAACGTCAAAAACCTCATGAATAATAATAACAACATGCCCTGAAAGAACAAAAATACATTCCATACTAAACTAATGATACAAGTCAATGTTATACAATCTCAGTTATATCACAGTAAACCCAATGATTCACTTCCATCTTTGATAAAGGCTCTTAAATTATTTCATAAAATCATAATATAGAATCATTCATTCTACACACTTTATTTCATAAAATAAAGTCACATATCAAGCATTCATGTCTTTTAAATTTATGTAAATGTAATATAAATGTGTCTTACCAATTTGTGGAAATGAGCTGTATGAGTCTCGGGGAACGAACCAGTCATCCAAGCAGAAAAAGAAAGTGAGAAAAGATACGGATTCATATCTTTTAATAAAATGCGCCACCCAAATAACCTCCAAGTGAAATGTACAACAAAACCTTCTAGAACAAAAGTAACTCCTCAATATTTTAAACTAAGGACACAAAGAATAAATTCCAAACATAAGAATCAAATCCTAGTTCCCACAAAACTTCAAAAGAATAACTACAATATAAACGTATATACACCACAACCCTGCATAACATCTTTTTTTTACTTTTTTAACTATGAAAAATAAAACTTGAAATCCCATTAATTAAATAACAAGAAAACAGACGAACTGAAAATTAGCACATTATACCCCGCTACATAATTTCCATATGGCAAAAAAAAAGTTTTCCCTGGATTGAACGCGTCTGTCTCTTTTGATGTCTTTTCAGATACCATCTTCATTTGTTGAGATACCGTCTTCATCTGTTGAGACAACTGGCCCAGTTAACATTGATGGTTAGATTTACGTAAAGTTTACGTCATTATGGTTAGATTTTGGTTAGCGTCCAATAATGGTAAAATTCTTTGGTTAAATTTACGTTACTTTTACGTCATAATGGTTATGGTTACTTTTACGTCAGAAAATGACGTAAATGTAACGTAAACTTTATGACGGATTACTAACCAATTTTTTTCCCTTTGAATATTTCTTGATTAAATAACATTACAAGTGTGTGCACATTCTAACAATTGATATATAGTCGGAATTCAGACATAATAATTATATATGTATTATTGGTTATAATTCTAACGTTAATCTAACGTAAATTTTACATCAGGTTTCTAACCGTTAGTTTATGGTTAGTTTTCTGACGTAAATCTAACGTTAGTTTTCTGACGTAAATCTAACGTTAGTTTTCTGACGTAAATCTAACGTTAGTTTTCTAACGTTAATATAATGTTAGTTTTCTAACGTTAATGTAATGTTAGTTTTATGTCATAATTTTAACCGTTAATTTAACGTTAGTTTTCTAACGTAAATCTAATGTTAATTTTATAACATAAATCTAACTTTAGTTTTCTAACATAAATCTAACGTTAGTTTTCTAACATATACCTGATATTAGTTGTAAAACGTAAAACAAATGTCAGTTTAATGTCATGATACTAACAATTAAGGGCCTGACAAGACAGCTGTCTAGTCATTAAAATGGGTAAGACCCTGGCTCGCTAGCCTGGAGGTCGGGTGTTCGATCCCTGCATTGGCCGAGAAAGTTCATCCAGATTTCCGGCGTGGTTTCCCCTTGTCAGTGATGCAGGACGGAGAGCCTGACAAGGACAGCTGTCTAGTTGTTCAGATGGGATAAAAAAAAAACGAGGTCCTGTGTACACATTGGCATGCATGTAAAAGGTCCCTTGACAGTTGGAATTCGATATAAGAGTAGGCCGTAGTGCCACTGTCGGGGCAAAATTTCCCTCATAACACACTGTATGGTGTATATGGCCATCTTCATTAGCCCAGTTCGGAGCAGAACAGTTGGACGTTAAACCCCATTTCATTTCATTACATTTTGTATCCATTTCTAAGTGCCCAAGAATAGAGATCTAGCTCCTTTAATAGTTGCGGTCTCTAGGTGACACACAAAGAGAAAACGAATGAATGAATGATCTACTCTCATTTCAAATTCCAAATGTCAAGGGTTCTTTTACGTGCACACCCACGTGATGGACTAGACACTGTTTTTTTGAGGTCCTCTGTCCTACACCACTACTAACAAAGGGAACTTTCTCGACCAACATGGGGATCACGTTGGCTAAGTGGGTAAGACGCTGACTCGCTAGCCTGGAGGTCGGGTGTTCGATCCCTGCATTGGCTGAGAAAGTTCATCCAGATTTTTCTGCGTGTTTTCCCCTTGTCAGTGATACAGGACGGAGGGCCTGACAAGAACAGCTGTCTAGTCAGGGATGAAAAACTGAGGTCACGTGTACACACAGGAGTGCACATGAAAGATCCCTTGGTAGTTGGAACTTGATATAAGAGTAGGCCATAGCGCCGCTGCCTGGGCAAAATTTCCTTCATAGCATACTGTATGGCATATGCTCATCTTCATTAGCTCAGTTTAGGAGCAGAACCCCTCATTTGCTAGCCAGTGTGTTACTAATTACTAGAGAGAGAGAGAGAGAGAAATGGGGTTTAACGTCTACTCGACACAAACTAGGTCATTTCGGGACTAACATATGGTTTAATTTTTATTTACATAATTCGCTTGCGCGTAGGGGTCTTTAGCAGTGGGAGAAAACCGGAGGTTGGACAGGCGACCCTACTCCTTGTCACGTACAACCGGGGATTCGAAACCACGCCAGTCAACTCAATGACAGACTTTATGATACAGCGCCCGCACGCTAACCATTCAGCCATCCAACCCCCCGTTACTAATTACTAAGTTTGTGAAATGTAGGTTTTTCCTCCTGTAGGTTTGTCCTGATGAAATCGGTTTATTGTCCTACTGTTCTGCTCCGACTGGGCTAATGAAGACAGGTACATACCATACAATGTGCTATGAGGGAAATTTTGTCTACTAATATCGAATCCAACTGCCAAGGGATCTTTTCGTGCAAGCCAATGTATACATGGTACCTCGGTTTTTTGTCCCATCTGAGTGACTAGACTACTGTCCTTGTTCCTGCACCTCTGACAAGGGGAAACCATGTCGGAAAATCCTGATGAACTTTCTCCACCAATGCAGGGATCGAACACGTGCCCTCCGGATTACCGAGCCAGCATCTTACGCACTTAGCCACCATGGCTTTATCAAAATTAGTAATGAAGATGTGCTATGACAGAAATTTTGCCTGGACAGCAGCATTACCGCACTTACTAATGAAGAAGTGCTAGGAAAGACATTTTGCCTGGAGAGCAGCATTTCCACATATAGTCATTACCAATAGTTCTAAGTGCACGCCAACCTGTAAAACATGTCTTTACACACTTTTCCATCATTACCAATTACTAGTCTGCGGGTTCACTAGTCTGTGGGTGCACTAATCCGTGCATTCACTAGTCCACTAGTCTGACTCTATAAAATACTATAAATATGAGTATTAAAGAAACCCAGTAGATATGGTGACTGATATCACCCTTCGTAAGGCGATAACCCAACATCACGGCATTTTAACCCGAAATCACAACATTTTAACCATTATAGCATATGCCCTTCTTCATTAGCCCACTTGGAACAAAATAGTAGGATGTTCAAACCCCATTTAAAATTCATTTTTATACTTTTCTGAACCAATCGGACTATTGAAGATAGTCATACGCAATGCAGAGTGCTATGACGGAAATTTTCTATGGACTGTGGCAGGGCGGAGGATCTGGCAAGGGATAAGGTATAGTTGTTCGGGTCATACGAAAAATCAAGTCCTCGTGTACATATTGGCATGCACGTAAAAGACACTCCGACAGTTGTAATTCAATATCAGAGTAGGCCATAGTGCCGCTATCCGTGCAAAGTTTCCGTCATAGTACACTGTATATAGTGTATGCCTGTCTTCATTAGCTCACTCAGAGCAAAACAGTAGGATGTTTAATCTCATTTAATTTTATTTAATTTTCCTACTTTTCTGCACCAATGGGACTATAAAAGATAGGCTGGCAAGCGGACGAGTGCACCCATTGACTATTGAGCATCATTTACTTGAAAACGTTGAGAGAACCCTCAACGAAATGTCGCTTTAATTAAAATAGTAATTGTGTTTTTTGTTGTATCATCGAGTCAAGTGAACGTTAAACCCCATTTCTCTCTCTCTCAATTTTGATACCCATAAATTTGACAAAACAAATAATGATTGTCGGAAACTGTTTCATAAAGCAAAGTTGTTCTCTACTAAAAGGTTATCACTGTCCAAATGTTAGGAGTAGTCCACACCTAGGCCGACTATGCATGAAGTGTTTTTATAATTAAATTTATTAAATATAGTACCTTGCATCAGTAAATATAAAATTAATGATCCTTTCACCAGTAAATATAAATTAAAATTACCCGATTTGATTATTCTTTTAATATAACGTAATCATGTAACCTCATATAAAATATGGTAGAGCGTATACAAACAAATAATATGAATAGATTCATTATCAGAAATATTACAGGCCTTTCAAACGAACAGTCGCCATTTTTAGACCTAAATACATGTAGATGTACAAATATATTTTTATCGTCTCGGGCAAGGTCAAGGTCACGATCTGTTCACTGTTGATGATTGTGTTTAAATCGGTTTATATCATATTATTTCTATTCACATTACAATATTTTTTTTATAGGTTACGGTTATTGTTGTTATTTATCAAAATTGCTTCAATTATTTATTAAATATTTTTTGTTTGTTCGTTTGACCGGAACGTACGGAATTCTGGGATTTAAAATGGCGGCATAGGTAATTATTTTTCCCAAAGAAGAAATGATGCCGTGATTTAAAGTTAAATAAAGCTATTCCACACATACACACACGATTTTGGATTCAGCAAAGTAAAGTTGAAGGTAAGTGCACTTTTTATGCGAACTTCCGTTGACAGTATACCGATAGATCTAATGTTCATAAAAAAATAATCTGGCCGTGGAAAAAGTTTGCACGCAACTTTGTATATCAGACAGTCAGTATTTGTTTTTAACACGATGCAGTTACATTGTCCGTAAACCATACTATTCATAAACAAAATCAACATTGCTTTAAGTTATCGAAAGTAATACTGGTTCCAAAATTGTTTTTAAAAAATCTGGATCCAAAAATTATCAAACACATAACGAATTTATTAATTTAATGATGTAGACTGTTAAAATTCAGGCTGTGCTAATTATAATATAAGTACATGTAGTATTTTCTAAACATTTTTATGGGTGTTTCAGGTTGGGTTTTTTTGTTGTTATTGTATTGATATTTTTGCAAATTTAATAATGCATAATGCAAGAGCTAAATCTATATATTGTACGTAGGTTAAGTAGGTATTTCTTGAGACTGTAAATGTTAAATTTTTTTATAAGACATTTTAATGTATTAACTTGCTAAGTCTATAATCAAGTCTCAATGCCATCGGGTGCTCGAGATGTTCACAGATTCAAACACTGGCGGTTAATGATTTAATTTAATTGAAAAATGGATAATCAAGACTTTAAGCTTATATACATAGGCCTATTTATATGATATAACATTAAATAACAAGTTTGCCCGTACATACTTGTACATAAAGGTTTCAGTCCTACTCCCCTGCTTATTTTTTCTTGTGGTGGCCAAGAAAGTTCATCAGGATTTTCTGGCATGGTTCCTCTTTTAACTGGTGCAAGACAGAGGGGCTGGTAAGGGCTAATGTACAGTTGTTCGGATAGGACAAAAAACCAAGCTCTTTTGTACACACGGTCCAGTCAAAATTTTCATCATAGCACACTTTCAAGCATTTGTCCAACTTCTTTAGCCCAGTTTGAGCAGCACAGTATGATGTTGAACCCCATTTCATTACAGATCCACAGTAGGTTGGCTGTCAGCCCAGTTGGAGCTGAACAGTAGGCCGTTTAACCCAATATCGTTTTTTTGGGGAGTATAAAGTTGCTTTTTATTTATTTTTTTTTTTTTTACAGATCCTACATGTATATTTGAGCACCCGTGGTGGCAGTAATGACAAAGAAGTTCTAAAAAGATTTATATGGGCTTTATAATGAAAGTTAGACAACACTACTACTTGCCAAACACTACTACTTGTCACATAATGTAATGATATAAATATATATGTATCTATGGTAGCACAAATATCATCAGAATGTAGGCCAAAGCTTTACAAGCATTGTAGGCCTAAAATACTTTCTGTCTGAACTTTTGACAGTCAATTCTTTGATGACTAGTTAGTTTAGAGCAGATATCCTGTCACAGTATTATATAACAGCTCTTTGGCTTAAAATTTAAACTGAGTTGTATCAGTGAGTTGAAAATCATCTGTGTTCCTGTTATTGCTCCCTGCTGCAGCCAGTAAACAATAACCTTTTGCGTTCCTTACAAATCTTCCAATTTTTACTGATAGATCAACCATAGCAAAGATCTCTATTAAGATTATATTTGTAATGTGTGTAACAAATTCTATGACATAGGTATAATATTGGTGTAGTTAAGTATATACCATATTTATGCACACATTTCAATATTGGCATATTATTAGTCTCTATCATCTAGAAAAAAATATTCTATATTCTACGAATATTAGTGTGGTTGCGTTGTCAACATTTGAGAATAATCGGTCATAGGCTAGATTATCCGGTCTTTTACATTATCATAAACAAAGTCTAAGGGAGGTAACTAGTCCTAAAACAAGATGTTGACGCCCATGAAATTTATATAAGAATGCCATTTCCGAAAATCCATTTGATTGCATTGTCAGTTCAATATCCAACACTCTTAATTTTTTTTATTGAAAAATTTCTCTCTTCATGGGCCATATCTATGTTTTTTTTTTTATTGAATCCTAATTCGTCATCACTATTCATGTTTGTTTATAAATGCAAGTGTTATTGACAACTGTCCCAGACCCTCATTATTTATATGGCCCAACTTTTCTTCGGGGTACACCGGCACGGTATTAGACTAGGATAAACATTAGTCTTATATACCGCCTCTACTTAATTATGGATGTAGGTCGGAAAAATGTAAAATTTGGCAATTTGACTTATACTCAACATCGACTTATGCTATAACTGTTTCAAATGACAAGTGCTAAATGAAGTATTTATGCGGTCTTTGGTGAAAGAAATGAAATGAAATGGGGTTTAACGTCCTACTGTTCTGCTCCTAACCTGGGCTAATGAAGACGAGCATATGCCATACAGTGTGCTATGAGGGAAATTTTGCCTGGGCAGCGGGGCTACGGCCTACTCTTATATCGAATTCCAACTGCCAAGGGATCTTTTACGTGCACGCCAATGTCTACACGGAACCCCGTTTTTTTGTCCCATAACGACTAGACAGCTGTCCTTGTCAGTCCCTCTGTCCTGCATCACTGACAAGGGAAACCACGCCGGAAAATCAGGATGAACTTTCTCGGCCAATACAGGGATCAAACACCCGACCTCCAGGCTAGCGAGCCAGCGTCTCACCCACTTAGCCACTTGATCCCCCCCTTTGGTGAAAAAGAGAGAGAGAGAAATGGGGTTTACTGTCAACTGGACACAAACTAGGTCATTTCGGGACTAACATGGTTTAATTTTTCATTTACATAATTCGCTTGCGCGTAGGGGTCTTTAGCAGGGGGAGGACACCGGACGACCCGGAGAAAACCCACGAGGTTGGACAGGCGACCCTACTCCTTGCCACGTACAACCGGGGATTCGAAACCACGCCAGTCGACTCAATGACAGACTTTATGATACAGCGCGCGCTAACCATTCAGCCATCCACCCCCCCCCCCCCCTTTGGTGAAAGAAAACAGAGCTGTGGCTAGTGAAATGAAAGTTTAACGTCCTACTGTTTTGCTCTGAACTGGGCTAATGAAGATGGGCATACGCCATACAGTGTGCTATGTGGGAAATTTTGCCCGGACAGTGGCACTACGGCCTTCTCTTATATCGAATTCTAATTTCAAGGGCTCTTGTACGTGCACGCCAATGTGTACATGGGACCTCATTTTTTTGTCCCATTTTAATGACTAGATAGCTGTCTTGTCTAGCCCTCTGTCCTGCATCACTGACAAGGGAGAACCACGCCGGAAAATCTGGAGTAACTTTCTCGGCCAATGCAAGGATCGAACACCCGACCTCCAGACTAGATAGCCAGTGTCTTACCGACTTAACCAACGTGATCCCCGTTGTGGCTACAATTCCTGGATTTGAAGGTCAGGTATGATATGAAACGAATATTTTGAACCGGTTCACCAATGCAACCAATCTGTGACGGGTTAACCGATAGAGGGTTACATCCTTGATATAAATATACTTGTCGCAGGTTTTAAAAATAGAAAGATATATATAAAGGTAGCTCAAAATTCATCTCTACATATACATAGGCCAAGGGGGGATCATGTGGCTAAGTGGGTAAGACGCTGACTCGCTAGCCTTGAGGTCGGGTGTTCGATCCCTGCATTGGCCGAGAAAGTTCATCCTGATTTTCCGGTGTGGTTTCTCATTGTCAGTGATGCAGGACGGAGGGCCTGACGAGGACAGCTGTCTAGTCGTTTGGATGGGACAAAAAAAACAAGGTCCAGTGTACACATTGGCAGTTGGAATTCGATACAAGAGTAGGCCATAGCGCTGCTGCCTGGGCAAAATTTCCCTCATAGCACACTGTATGGCGTAACCTTTTGCGTCTCTTCAAAATATTTCAAATCTTTTGTCATGGATCAACCATTGCAAATATCCGTGTTACAATTATATTTGAAATGTGTTAAACCAATTCTGCAACACATGTAATATTGGTGTAGTATATATCTTTGTATATACACCCACATATCAATTTTGGCCCTGTTTGTCCGTACACTGGGTGTGAAATGTGAATCATTCCGATTGTGAGAGGACAAGCATTATCAATATACAGCTTTTCAGGACTTTGCCTTCCTTGGTTAATTCTCCTTTTTTCAAATGCAATAGATGCTGTGTTTATTCTTAATTGATCTTTTTCAAATTTGTGTTACACACTGGAATCATGAGAGGACAAAACCTATCAATATTCAGTATTCCACAACATTCCATTCCAGTGTCGGCCGAGAAAATTCTTCGTGATTTCCAGACTTGGTTTCCTCCCCTTGTCAGAGGTGCAGGACAGAGGGCCTGACAAGGAGGGACAGCTGTCTAGTCGTTTGGAAGGTACGAATGACCGAGGTCCTGTGCACACATTGGTTCGCACGTGAAAGATCCCTTGGCAGTTTGAATTCGATATAAGAGTAGGCTTTAGCGCCACTGTCTGGAAAAAATTCCATAATAGGACACTGTATAGCATATTTCCATGTCATTAGCCCTGTCGGAATAGGACATTAAACCCCATTTCATTTCACTCATTCCAAAGTTAACTCCTATTCCATCAATACCTTGAGCAAATAAGATAGAGGCTATAGGTTTTGGCCCAATTTGGTCAATATCCCAGTTTTTTCTTTCTTATATGCATATCAACACTTTCATAGCGCTAATGTAGACCTTTTTCTTGAACATTTTCCCTTGTCAGTGATGCCGGACAGAGGACCTGACATGGATGGCTGACTAGTCATACGGAAGGGACAAAAAAAACCCAAGGTACAGTGTAAACTCAAGTGTGTGTGTGTGAAAGATCCCTTGGCAGTTGGAATTTTATATAAGAGTACGCCATAGCTCTGCACACTGTGTGGCATATGCCCGTCTTCATTTCTCAAACAGCTGTGGATAAAAACTGTTAATATTTAAATGTGTATTTTGTATTTTATAACATTATATTTTTGTCTTTTAAATAAAGTATATGTATACATACTTGTAGTATATTTTGTCATATAATTCTGCTAGATTTTTAACTTTTCTGTGCAATACATTTAGAATTCTGACTGGTTATGGGTAGATAGAGAGCAGTGGGGTAAAACATCCAATAGACATAAACTGTCCTTTGGGACTAAGTGATTCAATTCAAGTTGAATAATTCATCCGCACCAGGAATCTTTAGTAGTAGGAGGACCCAGAGAAAACCCATGTTCAAGTTGGGTGTGGAAAGAAACCACTTGACTCAATGACAGACCTTATGATCTAAAGCGCACACGTTGGACCACTCAACTTTTAGCCTCACCCACGGGTCAGGAAAATTTGATTATTGGTTGAATGTACTTCCCATTTACTGCGGCGAATAATGAATAATTTTGAAGGTTTTAATGCTCATCAAAATTTGACATTAGAATTGCATCCGTAAATGATGTTAATTTAATGTTAGATTTACGTTATAATGGTCGGTTAGATATCCATCATTTTGCTCATCCTTTTAACGACAATTTAACGTCAGGAAATGACGTTAATCTAGCGTAAAGTTTACGTCATTTTTATGTTATATTTACATCATTTTCTGACGTAAATCTAACGTAAAGTTTACGTCATTTTCTGACGTAAATCTAACGAAAATGACGTAAACTTTACGCAAATTTTACGTTAGATTTACGTCAGAAAATGACGTAAAGTTTACGTTAGATTTACGTCAGAAAATGACGTAAATATAACGTAAAAATGACGTAAAGTTTACGTTAGATTAACGTCATTTCCTGACGTAAAATTATCGTTAAAAAGATGAGCAAAATGATGGTAAACTGACTAACCATTTTTACGTAAATGTAACGTAAAATTAACATCATATTGTTATGTGGGGGCTGACTCCCTTGTATAACAGGGTTATCAACAAATAAAACTGCAGATTACCTTTCTGGTTTATGCCAGCCTTCTACGTCGTTGTTGGTCCGGATGGTTAGGCCAAACATACACCACGACGAAATTGGCCACACGGTATTTTCAATCCAGGTATATTTGTTCATTCTCTGCCTTCTCCCACAGTGTCGTAAAATCCGGTAACATATGCCCTGATGGCAAAAATGGCACGAATTTATATATACCATCGCGTAATTGTAAGCAAACAAAAATATATATATTGTGAAAGGCACAACCTTGGATAATCGGATCTTCGAAGACGGTTCGTAGCGCCTGCCATATCCCCGTCTCGAAGTCCACAACGAACGATTTAACAGCGGGTGTTGTTGATAGCAGTTCTATGATTGCCTGGAAAACCTACAAAAAGTGAAAATAAAAAAAATTATATGAATTATATAAAAATAAAAATACCTGATGAAATTAAATAAATGTTATAATGAACCCTTTTCTTTATATACTATTCAAAAAAAGTAGGGGATATTTGATTTTTAAGTGTTATTAAAGTCACCTAATGAAACTGACGAAGAAACAAATGACAAAATGAAATGAAGTTCACATTCATCGATTTATTCCAAATGATCGTTAGACTAAGTAAGGCACAGACTGACCATTATAAGTTAAAATGATACCCGGGGTCAAACAGCAAAGTTACCACAGCATCACAACCAAGTCAGTAACGGGTAAATCCTCCTCTGTTTGCCAAACAAGCATTGATCCGACGTGGCATACTCCTAATGAGACGTCTAAGGTCATTTCGGTCCAGATTGTCCCATTCCTGTTGCAACGCAGCAGCAAGTTCTTGGACATTGGCAGGACGTTGTTGACGTTGACGTAACCTCTGTCCAAGCATGTCCCAGACATGCTCGATGGGGGAGAGGTCGGGACTCAGTGCTGGCCAAGGTGATGTTCTGTTGTTGGAGGTAACCTGTAACGATCCTGGCCCTGTGACATCTTGCGTTGTCATCCTGGAAGATGAAACGGCGGCCATGACGTCGTGCGAACGGCACAACATGGACTGCCAAGATGTTGTCCCGGTAGTACTGGCCTGTAACACGCCCTGCAACAACATGTAAAGCCGTTCTTCCAGCAACAGTGATGCCTCCCCACACCATAACAGAACCACCCCCAAATCGATCATGTCTGATGACGTTAACGTCTTGGAAGCGCTCGTTTCGACGACGCCACACCCTCCTACGTCTGTCCAAAAAATCAACAGTGAACCTTGACTCATCTGAAAACATCACATTGCTCCAGCGTCGATTATCCCAGTGTTGACGATCCCTACACCAACGACGTCTTGCCTGAATGTGATGATCTCTCAAACAAGGGATCACGCGAGGACGTCGGGCGCGAAGGTGGACCCCTATGCAGTCGATTCCGAATCGTCTGGCCACTCACTCTCACACCAGTGTCTGTTTGAAGACGAGCGCTGATCTGATTTGCTGTGATGACACGATTTCTCAAGGCCAAGGTACGGATAAATCGATCCTGGGCTTGAGTTGTCGCCCTGAGCGTGGTCTGTCCTGTACAGATTGTGTATCACGGTATCTGGACCATAGCCTGCTTATGACAGACTGAGAAACATTCATCGTCCGCGCCACAACCGCCTGTGTTGTGCCGATCTGTAGCATGCCAAGGGCACGTAACCTTTCATTTTGGGTAAGCTGACGCATATCAAAATTTGTTTTCTGGTCACTAAAACAATTAAACTGATGTTTCCACCCTGGAATTCAATGCCACAATGACTGTAACATTCAAAGTCAGAGTCGTGCAAATCTTGGGTTGGACCCCCATGATGATCCCAAGCATCACCTGCATTCCATGCGGTAGCTATTGGTGCGTTTGGGCGTCACATGTAACTGGAAATGTTTCTTCTGTTAGGTTCTATAGTGACTTTTTTCGTAGTCATTTTCATATTTTAGTATTATGCCCCCAAAATCAAATATCCCCTACTTTTTTCGAATAGTATAGTATGGTGTCATATATTTCCAAGCGCTGGGAAATGTGTAAATTTTATGACGGGTATATAATTCGTGCCACGTATACGTAGGTACGTTTTTTTAACATTGAATTACATTCTCTATATTTGACAGTTAAGATGATTTGTGGGTGATTGTGTGTCAGTGTCCCAGTCAATTAGAGCGTGTGTGGTGGGAGGGTTGAGTGTAGTGGGTGTGTCTGTGTATGTGTGCATGTTGAGCACTGTGTATGTGTTGGGAGGGTTGTGTGTGGGTGTGGCAACCTATGAGTGTGGTTGGCGAATCTGTGTATGTGTGCATGTTGGGAACCGAGTGTGTGTTTGTGCATGCGTGTGTGTGTTGGGAGTCATCATTTATTAAGATGGATTTACTTAAGCAAATTCAAATTTTCTTTGTCCAAAATCTTTTGTCAAAAAAAAGCAAATACTTTGAAAACATTTTAAACATCTGGCACAGTTAAGGCACTGGCAATAAAAACGCCTGTCAAACTTTCCCACGCAACAGACGCATTCTTCAATTCTCAAGAATATCAGATGACACCAAAGTCGTGTTGCCTTGTAATTTGATAGCTAAACCATCTGACACAGCTAAGACACTGGTTATATAACACATGCCAAACTTTCCCACGCCAAAGACATATTCTTTGGTTCTCAAGAATATCAAATGACACCAAGGTGCTTGACTTTTATTTTGATGATTAAAACATATGTCACAACTAAAAAACAGGTGTTAATTAAAAATAGTCTCCAAATTGCCTTTACAGAAGACATTTTCTTTAGTTCTCAAAGATATTAAATTACATGGTGCTAAAACATGTCATAACTCCATACAAGATAACAGTGACCACCGCTATAATATACTATTCAAAAAAAGTAGGGGATATTTGATTTTTAAGTGTTATTAAAGTCACCTAATGAAACTGACGAAGAAACAAATGACAAAATGAAATGAAGTTCACATTCATCGATTTATTCCAAATGATCGTTAGACTAAGTAAGGCACAGACTGACCATTATAAGGGTAAAATGATACCCGGGGTCAAACAGCAAAGTTACCACAGCATCACAACCAAGTCAGTAACGGGTAAATCCTCCTCTGTTTGCCAAACAAGCATTGATCCGACGTGGCATACTCCTAATGAGACGTCTAAGGTCATTTTGGTCCAGATTGTCCCATTCCTGTTGCAACGCAGCAGCAAGTTCTTGGACATTGGCAGGACGTTGTTGACGTTGACGTAACCTCTGTCCAAGCATGTCCCAGACATGCTCGATGGGGGAGAGGTTGGGACTCAGTGCTGGCCAAGGTAATGTGGTGATGTTCTGTTGTCGGAGGTAACCTGTAACGATCCTGGCCCTGTGACATCTTGCGTTGTCATCCTGGAAGATGAAACGGCGGCCATGACGTCGTGCGAACGGCACAACATGGACTGCCAAGATGTTGTCCCGGTAGTACTGGCCTGTAACACGCCATGCAACAACATGTAAAGCCGTTCTTCCAGCAACAGTGATGCCTCCCCACACCATAACAGAACCACCCCCAAATCGATCATGTCTGATGACGTTAACGTCTTGGAAGCGCTCGTTTCGACGACGCCACACCCTCCTACGTCTGTCCAAAAAATCAACAGTGAACCTTGACACATCTGAAAACATCACATTGCTCCAGCGTCGATTATCCCAGTGTTGACGATCCCTACACCAACGACGTCTTGCCTGAATGTGATGATATCTCAAACACGGGATCACGCGAGGACGTCGGGCGCGAAGGTGACCCCTATGCAGTCGATTCCGAATCGTCTGGCCACTCACTCTCACACCAGTGTCTGTTTGAAGACGAGCGCTGATCTGATTTGCTGTGATGACACGATTTCTCAAGGCCAAGGTACGGATAAATCGATCCTGGGCTTGAGTTGTCGCCCTGAGCGTGGTCTGTCCTGTACAGATTGTGTATCACGGTATCTGGACCATAGCCTGCTTATGACAGACTGAGAAACATTCATCGTCCGCGCCACAACCGCCTGTGTTGTGCCGATCTGTAGCATGCCAAGGGCACGTAACCTTTCATTTTGGGTAAGCTGACGCATATCAAAATTTGTTTTCTGGTCACTAAAACAATTAAACTGATGTTTCCACCCTGGAATTCAATGCCACAATGACTGTAACATTCAAAGTCAGAGTCGTGCAAATCTTGGGTTGGACCCCCATGATGATCCCAAGCATCACCTGCATTCCATGCGGTAGCTATTGGTGCGTTTGGGCGTCACATGTAACTGGAAATGTTTCTTCTGTTAGGTTCTATAGTGACTTTTTTCGTAGTCATTTGCATATTTTAGTATTATGCCCCCAAAAACAAATATCCCCTACTTTTTTTGAATAGTATATATAAATCGAATCTAAAATACTGTGTAACGAAAATAAAACCCATTTATATAAAGAACATATTTCGGTCATGGAAACTTGGTCATACTATTTTCATAATTCAAATATTGGAACAGATTCATCATACCACCACATTTTATTAAAACCTTTCATTAAATATAAAACTATCAGCAGATAAAATATTGTTCAAATTTCAAACATTTGACTACAGAAGCAAACTTTCCATCAAATTAAAAAAAATATCTACAAATAATAGGTAAATGATTTTAACAAATTAAAATAAATCATATGTACATCACTTATTGAAAAAACAACAACTAATGAATGAAAAATCTATAAGGATAGAAGGGATTCCTTTGATACACAAGTTTGAAAAATGGTAAGAAGGTCTTATGGAATCGTGGTTATATACCACAGAAACAAGGTCATTTACATATACGGTTCAGACGGCATAAAGGTCATCTAACAGAACCAATGAGGGAGTGTATGTCACAAATTATTTGCATGTTCGGTGAATTTCCATTTCATGCAAGACCTAGAAAACCAATGACAATTGTGTATTTCGCAAGTCATTTGCATTTTAGATGAAATCAGGTCAATGGAAAAGTTTACAAATAGTTCCAGATTAAGTTTTAGTATATCGGTCCAAAGGTCAACCACCACGCGAAGAACTGAAAGATTGGCATTGAACAAAGGAATGGTGCTTCGTCATCAGCTTCTAAATAAGCCGCTCCTTTTTTTTAAACAGATCACATGATCACATCTGTATGTAACACACATATATGTGGATGGAATGTTTTACTGCAAGATATTATGTTTTATCTAGTTTAAAATCAAAAGCCATCGGTTAGAACATCTGTTAAGTACATTATCTAGTGTTAGCCGTCAGTTTGTTTTAAAACAGGTCACCTCTTATATTTTTTGTTAAATATATTTCAAAGGCTAAGATAAAAAAAAATCTTACTGAAGTATGTCGGTTTTAACTAACCCTAATCAATATAAAATAATATAATTAATTCGCATATTAATTATTACGTTAATTACTACAATGATCTGGTCATTTTTTAAAAAAACATTTTCTTACGCGTCAACAGCATAGAGATTGTAATTTTTTAACAACTCGGCAAAAAAATAAATAAAAATAACTGGCCTAGAAGGAATATAGAGGTTATTGGCATATTTAAAAAGGTCCATTGCATTTTTTAGAATATCGGTCAAAAGTTCACCTACTACCCCGAAAAACATCTGTTAAATACATAATGTAATATTAATATTATTAATCTGGTTTTTAAAGAACTAACCAATTTTATTTTTCTTAAATATATTTCAAATGCTAAAATAAAAACATTTAAGTATGTTAGGGTTAGACTAACCCGAATTAATATAAAACAATTAATATACTAATTAACATATTAATTAATACGATAATGACTACAATTATCATTTTAAAACATTTCTCATACCTTAACGATGTACAGCTTGTATTTATTTAAACAAGTACACGAGTTTAATTAACCGCAATTAATATAAACAATTGATATACTAATTAACATATATAGAGGATATTTGTCGTTTTAGAGTGAATAACATATTTTATTTCATCGAGAAGCAAGAAAACTTATATTTTCACGAATGCGTAGCATGAGTGAAAATATAAACGTTTTCTTGCTTAGAGATGAAATAAAATATGTTATTCACGACAAAACGACAAATGTTCTATTTATTTTATGATTTTACAATCATTTTAGGTAAAAACAACTAGCCAGTGGAATAACACTTTTATTTCACTGATAAAACGCGGTATTCCACTGCTGATCATAAAATAATACTTAATACTACTTTTACTTTTAAAACATTTTCTCATCTGTTAACGACATACAGCTTGTAATCTTTTAACAAGTACGTGAGTTTAATTAACCTCGATTAATATAAAACAATTAATATACTAATTCGCATATTAATTAATACGTTAATTACTACAATTATCTGGTCATTTTTGTTTTTTTAAAGCCATTTTCTTACGGCAAAAAAAAAACTGGCATAGAAGGAATATAGGTTATTGGCTTATTTAAAAAGGTTCATGGCATTTTTTAGAATATCGGTCAAAAGTTCACCTACTACCCCGAAAAACATCTGTTAAAACATCTTTTAAATACATAATGTAATATTAACCTGGTTTTTAAAGAAGTAACCACTTTTATTTTTCTTAAATATATTTCAAATGCTAAAATAAAAACATTTAAGTACGTTAGGGTTAGACTAACCTAAATTAATATAAAACAATTAATATACTAATTAACATATTAATTAATACGATAATGACTACAATTATCATTTTAAAACATTTCTCATACCTTAACGATGTACAGCTTGTATTAATATAAACAATTGATATAAACAATTAATATACTAATTAATATATTACTTAATACTACAAATGACTACAATTATTTGATTGGTGACATCTGAGAATATTCAAGTTTCAAAATATTAATCTAGTCCCTATTAGTCAGTATGGACGTTAAAACTCGTTTCATTTCTCTTATTTAAAACCAAATTTTGGTCGTGAAATTCAAAAGATCAAATTGAGAACTACCACCAGACCAGTAAATAATTTAACCAAATTGAAATAAATAAAAATAAATTTAAATAAATAAAAATAAATTTAAATAAATAAAAATAAATTTAAAAAAACCCCAAAAAATAATGGAAAAAAAAGAATCAATGAAAAAAAAAAGAATTAATGAAAAAAAAATTAATGAAAAGAAATTAATTAATAAAATAATGAAAAAATAATTGAATTATGAATAATTCATGAAAAGAAATTCATGAAAAAGAATTCATGAAAAAAAAAGTAATTAGATTATGAATAATTAGATTATAAATAATCAACTAAATGAGGAAATAACAAGACTAAATGAACAAATACAATTAACTATACAATTGACGGGAATGTCTTTTAGGACATGTTTTGGTCTTTGGGTTGAAGCGACGACGAAAAAGACGTTGGGGCGTGGCGAGGCGGGGCCCATGTGCGGTACAAATAAAACATTTTGTTTCACACCACCAATAATACATTGAATAAAAATATGATCAGAGCGTCCGCGGGCGGGCTGGACTGGGCGGGATCGAGGTGAACTACGCACGCTCATTAAGGTGACCCCCCCCCCCGCCCTATCCACAATTCAAATTTAAACTCACAACTTCATATTACCTAGTTGCCACGGGTTTCCATCGGCACTACAATTAACCGTTAACACCCACCCCTTTAAAAAAAGGCGGACCACGCCCATAATAAAAGGGGGATAACTCTTCAGACGTTGCTAAGGTAAACAAAACAGGGGAAGATAACCCCTACCGGAAATACCCCTTTAAGTACCGTATTTTACTACTCCCTTCTTCAGCTCAGTTCGGAGCAGAACAGTAGGACATTAAACCCCCATTTCATTTTATTGATTACTCCATTTCATTTTATTGATTACTCTTTTTTATTTTAGTTCAAGGTTTTAAACAGTAGGATGTAAAACCACATTTCATTTCATTTACATTTTATTGATTACTCTTTTTTAATTTAACAAACATCACATCTAAAAGATTTTTTTTCCCAGTATGAATTCTAATGTGTTTCTCCAGAATACTGCTGTCAGAAAATGATTTACTACAGACATCACAATTAAACGTTTTTTTCTTTAGTATGATTTCTCATGTGTTTGTGTAGATTACCATTAGTGGTGAATGATTTACTACAAACATCACATTTATAAGGTTTTTCACCAGTATGAATTTTTATGTGTTGCTGAAGACCAGTACTATTATTAAATGATTTACTACAAACTTTACATTTATAAGGTTTTTCACCAGTATGAATTCTGACATGTCTCTGTAGACTTCCACTCTCAGTAAATGATTTATCACAAACACCACATTTATATGGTTTTGCACCAGTATGAGTTCTGATGTGTCTCTGTAGACGACTACTAGCTGTGAATGATTTACTACAAACATCACATTTATAAGGTCTTTCACCTGTATGAATTCTGATGTGCTTCTGTAGACAACTACTAGCTGTGAATGATTTACTACAAATATCACATTTATAAGGTTTTTCACCAGTATGAATTCTTATGTGTGACTGCAGATAGCCAAAAGTGTTAAATGATTTACTACAAACATCACATTTATAAGGTTTTTCACCAGTATGAATTCTCCTATGTGTCTGTAGATGACCTTTCCCAGGAAATGATTTATTACAAACATCACATTTATAAGGTTTTTCACCTGTTTGAGTTCTGACCTGCCCTTGTTCACTAACATGTATTTCACAGTGTTTTTCTAAATCTGTTTCTGACTTAAATTCTTCATCACACAAATTACACTGATAAACAGTTTCAATATCATCTGTTTTCTCTTCTTTAACATGACAATATTCATCTATATCATCAGTTTTCTCTTCTTTGACATGCATCTTATTGTGTTTTTCTAAATCATCAGTTTTCTCTTCTTTAACATCCCAATATTCATCTACATCATCAGTTTTCTCTTCTTTAACATGACAATATTCATCTACATCATCAGTTTTCTCTTCTTTAACATGTATTTTGGAATGTTTTTCTAAATCATCATATTGTTGAAAAAACTCATCACACACAACACACTGATAAAATGTTTTAACACCACCAGTTTCCTGTAATATATAAAAGTTATAACATCAGTGTGTCGGAATCCGTCTTAGTGTCTTGTTATTCAAGTCTAAAAAGTCAATAGGGTTTTCAGGTCAAAGCTTTAAATGACAGAAAAAAATTTTTTTTAAATATTTTGTGAAAATATATATAAAATGCTACCCATTTTTTTTTATTTCATCAAAAAATTCTAAATAGATCTAAAATCATTTTTTAAAAATATTTTGTGAAAATATATATAAAATGCTACCCATTTTTTTTTATTTCATCAAACAATTCTAAATAGATCTAAAGTCATTTTTTAAAAATATTTTGTGAAAATATACATAAAATGCTACTCATTTTTTTTTTATTTCATCAAAAATTTCTAATTAGATCTAAAGTTATGGAATTTTAAAATTCAAGATCGATGTCAATAATGTAATCAAAATGCTCTATACCAGTCAGTGCGTGCCATGGCACCAAAATAAGTGCTTTTCAGTCATATCTGAGTGACGTCATAAGCGGTATTTTCCCTTTAGAATTACTAGTATCAATTTTAAAACTCAAATCTGCACGTTATAGTCTGCTAAGATTTAGTAATATGGTAATAATTTGAATGATAATATGTCAAATATTTATAATCTGGAGGCTATATTTAGTCGAAATTTAGAAAATTTCAGTAAGCAAATCAGATAAATCCTGTTTTCTACGGCTGTAATTGTCGGATTTTGGGGTATCACAAAAATGTCATCTATCGTTTGATTGGTTCTATGTGGAAATCCCCCGGAAACTAAGGTGCGGAATCACCAATGAAGTGAGCCGTAACAATGGAAAATTATTTATACGATTTCTATGCAATTTTAATATGAATAGTGTCCAACTTCTTTCTTTGTATACGCTTTAGTTTATTTTCCGAATCCACACCAATTCTCGACACCAATTTCACTAAAATTACATTGCTTACAATCGAGCGATTCTCATAGCAAAACATTCAACTTGTAATACACTGTATAGTCATTTACATCCATGTTGGTTAAACTATACTCAGCCAAATTAAAAACTTGACACTCAGGATTTTTGGGACTAGATTTTTAATATTTGGTTTAAGGCAACTTTTTTAGTTTTATGTTGTGCACAGACGACCTTGACATCAACAGAAAGCAAGAATACGTCTCGTCGAAAGTCCTTGACATCGATAACGTTTGTGATGTCACAGTACCCCCAAAAATGAAAATCACAGACTTGGAGAACAATCGGAATAAAGTGTTTAGTAACGGTTATGGCCTCCTCTAGCGTCCCGTACTGCCACACAACGTCTTCTCATGGATCTCAGAACATTAGTAAACACTACCCGAGGAAGACGTCGCCACTGCTCAGCAAGAGCATGTTGAAGGTCCTGCAACGTCAGTGGTGGATTCACTTGCTGACGAACACGTCGACCCAGTTCGTCCCAGATGTGTTCAATAGGATTAAGATCGGGGCTAAGCGACGGTCAATCCAGGACTTGGACACCGACATTTCTTATAAAATTCTGGGTAGCAATTGCTTTATGGGGTCGAGCATTGTCTTGTTGAAACGTTAGTCCAGGTCCATGTCTCTGCATAAACTGAAAAAGAACAGGTTGAAAAATCTGATCCCTGTACTGGACAGCATTTAAGTTCCCTTGGACAACAACAAGAGGAGAACGTCCATGTGCACAAAAAAAACCCCAAACCATGCTGCTGCCGCCACCAAATCGGTCAACTTCTCTGATGCATACTTGAGCATAACGTTCACCCCGTCTGCGGTACACTCGGGCCCTGCCATCGGCAAATCTCAAAGTGAATCGAGATTCGTCACTAAAGACAACCGAATTCCACTGTCTTTGAGTACATGTACATCTTATGTGTCTTGTGGCCCACACAAGTCGGTTACGACGATGAAGAGGTGTCAATATTGGTCCATTATAGGGCCTCCGAGCTCGAAGACCAGCAGTCTGCAAGCGATTTCGAACAGTTTGTGCAGTTACCCTTCCACCAAACATCTCTCTACTTGTGGAGGTTGCAGTGACAAATCTGTTTCTAAGATGACGTAATCGTATTGCTTGATCTTCCTGGAGTGACGTCAGACGTGGCGCTGCCGCCCTTGGGCGGTCGGCAATAGTTCCAGTTTGAAGCACTCTCATTCTAAGATTAATTATTGTCTGGCGTGAACAATTAAAGGCTTTTGCAACAGTGACCACAGACTGACCAGCATAGAGCCTACCTATAGCACGTAGACGTTCTACATTTGAAAGGCGCGGCATTTTCTAACAAAGATGAAGATAACAATTTTAATTTGTTTTTCCAGTTCAAGTTACGTGTGCGTGTTCAGTTTAAACAAACTTGCATCGATTAACCTCACGAGTTTGTGTTTGCATGTGTTTTTCAGGTTTTTCATCTTTATATGCTCAAAAGTCATGTGATCCACGTGACTTTGCAATTTTATGAAATTAAAGACTTCTTACTACTTACTATCGTAAGAAACACTTTAAAATTTATTTGACTTACCAAAAAAAAAATTTGTTGAAATTCATCAGTGATAGAACAGATCAAAGGATAAAATTGCAATTTCGTCACATGTTAGGCTATCTTTAGATGTTCAGACTACCTGCGTCTCAAATAACCCAACGTTAAAAGAAAGCATGCAGTGTCCACCTTACAACAGGTTCCATTGATTTACGATTTATTTTATAACTTATCACACAGTTTAGACCACAATGTGTTACGATTTGCATTTTGGTATTCTAAATTAATTCTTATTCGGATTTCTTATATTTGGAGATGTTTCGTTTCATTTCGTGTACAGAAATTAAATCAACGATCAGTTTTAAAATTAATTATGGTTTCGACATAATATCAATTTAATTTGTCTTATTTAAAAGGGGCTCCTGCGCAATTTAGTTGATTATTGTGTAATACGTCGAGTCCACGATGTATTTTTGGCCAGTGATTCAGCTGTCAATATGTAATTATAAAACACCTTTTCATAAAGAAGATAAATGATGTTAGACATCATAAACTAACAAACAATACGGGTATACTTTATTACAAAACCATCGGTGAACTAATCAAAAATCATAACGGAAATTAACTAACAATACGAATAAACAATATGAATATACAGTGGTGAACTAATCTCGGCCGTGATCGGTAATCAACAAAAATCGACGAGTAAAACTTATTTATTCCATACATTATTGTTTATTTAACAATAAGTAAGTGTTTAACAGTTTTTTTAACGATAAGTACAACTCAGGTAATTGACTGCTATTATAATAACAAGGGGATGAAACAGCCCGGGATGAAATAGCTCGATAAAAGGTAGGTTGCCAGGCAACAAAACATACGCCCACAGCAGCTAAATCGTCCGGGCGGTCGTATATTTATTCTTTTGTAGGTAATTTGGGGGCATTTAATAGACAATTTCATACAGATGACATTATAATTTTCGTCATTTGAGGGTTCACAAGGTTCTAAAAACTAAAACAAGGGCTGTAACTCTGGAAGTAATTACAGAAACTGTTGAAATTCGACAGGCATATCAATTTCATACAGATCGGATGATAACTTTTGTCGTTCAAACGTTCACAAGGTTCAACAAAGTAAAACAAGGGCCATAACTCTAGAAGTAATTGACAGAAATTGCTGACATTCAATAGAATTCGTCATTTCACTAATTTAAATGATGCATATGAATTTCATACAGATTGGGTGATAACTTTTGTTGTTCAAGCGTTCACAAGATTCAACAATGTGAAACAAGGGCCATAACTCTAGATGTAATTAACGGAAATTTGCTGGAACTCAATAGGCTTGTTCATTTTACTTATTTAAACGATACCTATAAATTTCATACAGATCGTATAATAACTTTTGTCTTTAAAGCATTCACAAGGTACAACAAAGTTAAACAAGGTCTATAACTCACGGTGTAATTAACGGAAATTGCTGAAATTGAATAGGCATCTTAGTTGCACTAATTTAAATGATGCATATCAATTTCAAACAGATCGGATGACAACTGTTGTCATTAGAGCGTTCACAAGATTCAACAAAGTGAAACAAGGGCCATAACTCTAGATGTAATTAACGTAAATTGCTGAAATTCAATAAGCTTCTTTGTTTTACTAATCTAAATGATACACATAAATTTCATACAGATCTAATAATAACTTTTGTCGTTAGAGCATTCACAAGGTTCAACAAAGTGAAACAAGGGCCATAACTCACGGTGTAATTAAAGGAAATTGCTGAAATTGAATAGGCATCTTAGTTGCACTAATTTAAATGATGCATATCAATTTCAAACAGATCGGATGACAACTGTTGTCATTAGAGCGTTCACAAGATTCAACAAAGTGAAACAAAGGCCATAACTCTAGATGTAATTAACGGAAACTATTACAATATACTTGCTAGTAATACATTAAAGTAGCTAAGTCTCTAACCCAATATCATCCAAAATCTTCAACATTGAAAACACGAATTATTTGTCAATTTAAATCAACATTGATGTTGTGATCTTACCGGGAAAAGATGGGCTTCTGATATCCAATATTTAAGTCAAAATAAACATTTTACCATTGGTACACGAAGAACGAGGTTAGACATTCAACAAGTATGCGCAATAAATACTATGTAGACTAGAATAACCAGACGCTAGAAATTTTCATTCGATTGAGACTTCATACATATTTCGCCGAACTTAACTGATTTGAAATTTGAGTAAAAATGGAAACGATTGAATGTAAATCAGTTTATATATATTCCTATTACATTATTGTATGCGCTACGGCCCATTTGTGTCAATTTCTAGGTCCAAAATATTAGCGATTTAGCTCCTTTAACATTAAATAGTAATTCAGAATCGTAGATTGAAGTGGGGTATATTTCAGCCTCTGGCTGTCCAATTTCACGCTAAAATCACGTGACCTGAAACCCGTATAGTCAACTAAGAAGAAAAGGGCGTGGAACGAATAAAATTATCTCTCATGAGAACCTAAAGGGTGGGTAAAATGAAAAGTTATTGATCAATTCGGCTGAGGTCATGGCTATCCCCCTGAACATCCCCTGGAAATTTCAAGTCTCTACGACCACGGGAACTGGTAAAGGTGCGAATGGTGATATGGCAAGATGCACATTACACAGTAATACTTACCATTATTTAGTTTGTAAAGTTCTGCTACAGCAAATGGTTGGTTGTCTGATAAGTTGTCCTTTCGTGGGGTTCAGTCTGTTTCAACAAATAAGGGAAAATGAGGAAGAGAAAACCATGGCTTTGTTCTTTCTAAAGGTCATTTCCGGTAGAGAACGGCTTACGAGTTGTGTATTAAATATAGTCATGGATCTATCCAACGCAAACAACTCACAAACGACCAACGCAACGCGTAATTGAATCTTAATCCTAAATTTTCATGACTACTTTAAGGCTATATTACCATAGATACATTAAAGCTATTTCATCTATCGCCTTTCAAGCTACATTAAAGTTGCAATTTCATATTTTTAAGTTATATTTTTAAAATTTATTAAAATAAAGCCTTAAAATAGATGGTATCTATAAACAGTCCTAATTCAATATTGCCAGTTGAGAAATTGGCAAAAATATCATTTTCTTCTTCAAATTCCAACGTTTGAAGATAACTACTCCATGGTGGAGAATAGAAAACAAGGGAGGTAAGTCTGAGGTAATTGTGTTATTATTTCCGGTGTAAATGAGTTTTAAGTGTGAGAATGACACCTATGATCGTATAATAGTGAGTTGACAACCTATTGAGCAAAAGACATAGAAATAATTATGTTTTGACTTTCTTAGAAAATATGAAATTGTAACTTTAATTTAGTAACTTTCAAAGTTATATCACCTTAGATCCTTTAAGTCTATATACCTTAGATACTTTAAAGTTATATTACCTTAGATACTTTAAAGCTATATTACCTTAGCTAGGGGATCACGTGGCTAAGTGGGTAAGACGCTGGCTCTCTACCCTGGAGGTCGGGAGTTCGTTCCCTGCATTCGCCGAGAAAGTTCATCCAGATTTTCCAGCGTGGTTTCCCCTTGTCAGTGATGCAGGTCGGAGGGCCTAATAAGGACAGCTGTCTAGTCGTTTGGATGGGACGAAAAACCAAGGTCCCGTGTACACATTGGAGTGCATGTAAAAGATCCCTTGGTAGTTGGAATTCGATATAAGAGTAGGCTGTAGCGCTGCTGCCCGGGCAAATTTTCCTCATAGCACACTGTATGGCGTATGCCCGTCTTCATTAGCCCAGTTTAGGAGCAGAACAGTAGGACGTTAAACACCATTTCATTTCATTTCATTTACCTTAGCTACTTTAAAGCTATATTACCTTAGCTACTTTAAAGTTATATTACCTTAGCTACTTTAAAGCTGTATTACCTTAACACTTTAAAGCTATATTCCCTTAGATTTTTTAAAGCTATATTACCTTAGATCCTTTCAACTATTTTATCTATCACCTTTCAAGCTATATTACTTTAGCAATGTTTAAAGCTAGCGATGGTCCGATAATCGGTTAAAAAATCGGTAATTGGCTGATAAGTGGCCTGTCGAAAGAAATCGGTATCGGTAAATAACTCTAAAATATCATTTGAGTTGTGAACAATAAAATCCTTAATTTGGTTGACACTTGGTACAATTAATTTAGTTGCCGTACGCGTGACTCTTTAGACATAATACAAGACTCTCACGAGAGAGAGAGAAATGGGATTTAACGTCCACTTATCACAAACTAGGTCATTTCGGGACTAACACATGGTTCAATTTTATTTTAATAATTCGCTTGCTCGTAGGGGTCTTCAGCAGTGGGAGGAAACCGGAGGGACCCAGAAAACAACCCATGAGGCTGGACAGGTGACCCTACTCCTTGTCACGTACCACCAGGGAATCAAAACCCCGCCAGTTGACTCAATGACGGACCTTATGATACAACATGCATACGCTAACCATTCGGCCATCCAACCGCCTCCCAAGGCCGTAAAAGGAAATAATAAACTGTAAAATCCATATTCACACATTGTTTGAGCTTTCGGCTGACAATATTTCTGTGTATGTGCAGACATACATAAATGTACAATAGTTCACCCGATAAAACAAGTGACTGGAATATGGAATAAGTCCATTGCATGATGATCAAAAAGATAGAATTAGAGAACGCAACAGTATGTGCCTGGGGCCTCTCTTCGATCCCATTTCAATGCGTGCTTATAACAGACGTCATCACACAGTGGACTTACACCCTCATGTAGTGGACTTACACCATCATGTAGTGGACATACATCATCATGTAGGGGACTTACACCCTCATGTAGTGAACTTACACCATCATGTAGTGGACTAACATCATCATGTAGTGGACTTATACAATCATGTAGTGGACTTACATCATCATATACTGAACTTACATCATCATGTAGTTGACTTCACCATCATGTAGTGGACTTACACCATCATGTAGTGGACTTACACCATCACGTAGTGGACTTACACCATCACATTGTGGACTTACACCATCACTTTGTGAACTTACACCATCATGTAGTTGACTTACACCATCATTTAGTCGACTTACACCATCATGTAGTCGACTTCCCCATCATGTAGTGAACTTACACCATAATCTAGTGAACTTACACCATCATGTAATGGACTTACACCATCATGTAGCGGACTTACACTAGAAATAAGAGATCACAAACTCGAACAATAATAACTATTTTGGCTTTTGAATTTTTATTTAAAATTTACAAACTATGAAATAAACAATGATCCTCCTTTGACCACTGTCGCTGAAGTTAAATAGTTCTGTATCTAACTACTTCACAGCATTTTCTTCTTCTTTGTATCTTACTCACTACGGTACTGGTAGTTTCTGCTGATTGAGATGAGGAGGGGGGTTGGTGGTAGAATATCATATGATCGCCACTGTCGGCGGACGGGAAGCTATCGCTTTGATGTATCATTACCGCATGACCCATTTGAATACTTGACAACTCATCCCAAAGACAACTCATCTCAAGACAACTCATCCCAATATATGACAACTCATCCCAAGTTAGACGACAACTCATCCCAACATATAAGACAACTCATTCCAAGATAAAAGACAACTCATCCCAACTTAAAATAAACACTCATCTTGGGATGAGATTGCCATTTGATTGCGACTTCTGGCCGAACATAACTGATTTGAAATTAGAGTCGAAACAGAAACTGTTAACTGTTGTCTGATCCCTTATGCAGTTGATATAGTTGTTAAAGTTATACCCCTTGAGGAAGGCTCTCCAAGTAGGAGTTGTAATGGTTAAGTTGTTGAGCACATGGTTTTTGACATCCTCGGTTACCCAGTGTACTCATTCCGTTCTACTCCACTATACCCTGGCTTAATCCATAGGGTTTCCACGATTTCAAATTATCTGCCCTTGCCTAGAATGTAGCTACAGTTTACAAACCAATCGTTTCGCCTTCGTTTTTATAAGGGTAGATAACCATATCCATGTCCATTTACTGAATGATTTATGTAAATAATGTATATATTTATGATTTATTTATATTTAATTGTATTATCAAAATCTGCAGTATGTGTTGTTGATTTCAAATATGTGTAACATCTATATGTTTGACTTTTGTTATTATTATAACTATTTGTTCTTTGTCTGAAATATGTCATTCTGTTATGTTTATTATTATTGAACTTATACTTGGCAATTTGATTCACAATAACTTGTCTACGATATCACGTGGACATAAAATTCCGTGAACGAACGAACAAATCTAAATAAAACTAATGACCCTACATTATTATTTCATGGTAGAATGATTTCGCAGTGGAGAGACGACCTGAGTAGTATTTACACGTGCGTCTTGCTATGATACTCTGAGCGTAAAACAATCACGTGTTTGTTTAGACCACATCATCAAAACAACTTGTCTATGGCGTAGAGGACTGCGATATTATTAAATGTAGTGTAAAGGAAATGCGAAACGTGGGTCATTCCTGGTGAAAGTATGCATCGGCGGATGGTTCTTCCGTTGAAATTTATTTGTAATAAAGTTTATGACTTTCTAGGCGTTTTTTTCATCCTGCTTATTTTCAATGCTTGTGAAGTGTCCAGCAAGAGAACTGCGCCTTCTATCATCACAATTAATTAAAATAATTATTCAATATTCTAATTTATATATTTTGCATATTAATATAAATCAAACCAAATTATGAAATATATGCCAATTGATATGTATAATAATTGATTTTTGTAATATGTTGTTATGTTAATTTAATGTCATTGTATATGTTTTTGAACTGCCATGTAGTTCCCCCCCCCCCATTTTGTTTTGTTACTATGATTTTGACTAGCTGTTTCATGTACATTGTGGAGAGCCATCCTTTTCAATTGCGATCTGGGTCGGACTAAACGTACGCTACTTAATGCTTGATAGGTATCTTAAACGGTATAAAAGTATCCTGGTATCAGAAATGAACAGTACTCTTTCTGTACATTTGTGATACACGGGTACTTTTATGCATGTATTGCAAATAAACAGGATAGTTTTATCAAAGGTTGCCAGTGGCAACGAGTAGAAGTGTGATGTAATCTGTAATCAACGGTACAAAGTCAGAGGGGTCAAAACCAAAAGTAAGACACAGATGTCAGTAGCGCGTGTGTCCTCCACGGGCTCTTACGCACGCTGTGCATCGACGTCGCGTGGAATTTACCAATGTTTGAAAGAAGGCCTGTGGCAAATTTTTCCATTCTTGGACAAGAGCAGCTTCTAAAGCAGCAATAATGTGCATCTGTGGTCTCCGATACAGACGGCGTCCAATCTCATCCTAGACATGTTCTATCGGTGCCATGTCCGGAGACATGGCTGGCCAGTCCAAGACATTGATGTTGTTAGCAGCCAGGTAGTCCATACTACTCTTCTCCATATCTGGTGTCCTTGAGCCCATATCAAACGCCGCTGACGGTGAGGATAGCTCCAACATAAGGCCGTCGTGCACGGAGTCCTACTTCTCTTAGACGACGTCTTACGGTGTTGGCACTTACTGGTCCTTGTCTTCCGACGACTGCTGCACCTGTTCGAGTAGCTGGGCGGAATCTGTCACGCAGATGAGTGACCCGGATGTAGCGGTCACGTGTTGATCCAGTAACTCGAACACGTTCCACTAACCTTACAATAGTGGACTGATGACAATTGAAGTGTCTGGCAATAGCACGTGTAGACATGCCAACCCTGGACATTCCCATGGCTTCATTCCGTTGATTTTCAGTCTCGGCATCACTAGCTCGATTCCTTCACACGTCCAACAACAAATTACGACAGATTGACGTTTCACAGTTCATGTACTGCACATTAAGTTGAAAACATGCTTTTAAAGGGCTCACACACAGTGCTGCACGTGAATGTTGGGTTTTTCATGTGCATCTCGTGCAATTTTTTTTTTGCACACGGGCCGATATTTTTTGCGTTTGGGAGCATTGTGTGAAACAATAGTTCATAGTATTGCATAATATTATACATACAAAACCACCTAGTAATAAAATGTTTGGGAAAAAAAAGTGATGCGTTTTCCATGGTGCTCAGTATATAAAGCTATATTACTGTAGAACCTTTAAAGCTATATTACCCTAGATCCTTTAAAGCTATATTACAATAGCTACTTTCAAATTATTTGTGGTTTCCTCACCATGTTGCTCTTATGTAACAGGTTAGTTTTTTTTAGGTTTCAATAATATTTTATTCATCTAAATACAAACAAATTGGATACAATGTACACCAAGTTAGATACAATACACACTGAATCTTTAATACATTGGATACAATATACAACAAATTAATACATGGCTCTAGATCACAGATTTATATTCTTGTATTCATCTACATACAAACAATATACAATAGGTTAAAGATACATTCCCCTGTACAAACTGGGTGATTTAATGGTATATATGGACTAAAACCATATTCAAACTAATTAATTTGTCATAACTTTGCGTCAAATCCTTCTCAAACATTGTAATTGCGAAGGAATGTCCTGCTATAAAAATTCTATCAAACCAGGTCATGTTTACGTCACGCGACTTACCTCTCTTGTAAGTCAAAGGAGAATTCATTGCATACTAAGACGATGTTGTCTTTAATCGCCGACTATTTATTACAAATATCGAATCCTAATTAAATTCTCGGATTATCCACTACCCGCGTCTTTTTCCGTCATTTTTATCTCAGAAAGTGTTGTAAGTCTAACTCTTCATAAAGTTTATCAACTTGTACATCAAGCGCTCAATGTTCGCGTGTGTCCTTTGACATCACGCGTGCAGAAATTCCTAATCGTCTGGCTGTTGATTAGGGGAACCCTTACATTTTTGTCCTGTATACGCTCCATGAGTGTTTTTCGGGGAATACAGTATTTTTCTAGTAAGATATCTCTACTTTCCATATATACGAAAATTACCATACTTTTATTGGAAATAACCATCCAATAAATACTTTTCTGGTAACCCATCTTTAAAAACACATTCCCAAGTACAAAATGGGTGATTTGATGATACAATACATGGTTTAAGAGCACAAACACTAATAGTATATAGAAATGAACTGGGGTATAACATCCTACTGTTCTGCTCCTATACTGGGCTAATGAAAACAATCGATGAAATGAAATTAAATGGGGTTTAACGTCCTACTATTCTGCTCCTATACTGGGCTAATGAAAATGGTCATACGCCATACAGTCTGCTATGAGGGAAATTTTTTCCCAGGCAGCGACACTATGGCCTACTCTTTCATCAAATTCCAAGAGAGACTAACACATGGTTCAATTTTATTTCAACAATTCGCTTGCCAAAGGGATCTTTAGCAGTAGGAGGAAACCGGAGGACCCTGAGAAAACCCACGAGGTAGGACAGGCGACCCTACTCCTTACAACGTACAACTAGTGAATCCAAACCACACCAGTTGACTCAATAACAGACCTTATGATACAGCGCGCACATGCTTACCATTCAGCCATCCAACCCCCACCTACAATAGGAAAATTTAGCTCTAGCATAATGCATGTTTAAGATTCCTGAATATCAACTGCTTGTTCACCAGTATGAAATCTTATCTTGTGTATTTTCAGATTACTACGCTGTCTAAATGATTTACCACAAACATCACATTTATATGGTTTTTCACCTGTGTGAATTCTTATGTGTGATTGTAGAGTACTACTATGAGTAAATGATTTACTACAAACATCACATTTATATCGTTTTTCACCAGTATGAATTCTCATGTGTTCCTTCAAATGATGGCTATAGGTGAATGATTTACTACAAACATCACATTTATAAGGTTTTCCACCAGTATGTGTACTCCTGTGCTGCTGTAGAGAACTACTAAGGGCAAAATATTTTCCACAAAAATCACATTTATATGGTTTTTCGACAGTATGAATTCTTATGTGCTTTTGTAGGCCTTCCCTCCGTATAAAAGATTTATCACAAACATCACATTTATGGGTTTTTTCGCCAGTATGAATTTTCATGTGCTTCTGTAGGCTTCCACCCTGTGTGAATGATTTACTACAAACATCACATTTATAAGGTTTTTCACCTGTATGAATTCTCATGTGCTGCCGTAGAGAACTACTAAGGGCAAAATATTTACTACAAAAATCACATTTATATGGTTTTACACCAGTATGAATTCTTATGTGCTTTTGTAGGCCTTCCCTCCGTATAAAAGATTTATCACAAACATCACATTTATGGGGTTTTTCGCCAGTATGAATTTTCATGTGCTTCTGTAGGCTTCCAGCCTGTGTGAATGATTTACTACAAACATCACATTTATAAGGTTTTTCACCAGTATGAACCCTTGTGTGTATGTGTAGAGCACTATTCACTGAAAATGATTTATCACAAATATCACATTGATATGGTTTTTGTCTTCTTTGCCCTTGCTGACTAACATGTATTTCACAGTGTTTTTCTAAATCAGTTTCTAATTTAAATTCTTCATCACATAAATTACACTGATAAACAGTTTCAATATCATCAGTTTTCTCTTCTTTAACATGATAATATCCATCTACATCATCAGTTTTCTCTTCTTTACCATGCATCTTATTGTGCTTTTCTAAATCATCATATTGTTGAAAAATCTCATAACATACATCACACTGATGGAAAGTTATAAGATCATTTGTTTCCTGTAATATATAAAAGTTATAACATCATTAGTTTCCTGTAATGTATAAAAGTTATAACATCATTAGTTTCCTGTAATATATAAAAGTTATAACATCAATAGCTTTCTGTATAATATACTATTCAAAAAAAGTAGGGGATATTTGATTTTTAAGTGTTATTAAAGTCACCTAATGAAACTGACGAAGAAACAAATGACAAAATGAAATGAAGTTCACATTCATCGATTTATTCCAAATGATCGTTAGACTAAGTAAGGCACAGACTGACCATTATAAGGGTAAAATGATACCCGGGGTCAAACAGCAAAGTTACCACAGCATCACAATCAAGTCAGTAACGGGTCAATCCTCCTCTGTTTGCCAAACAAGCATTGATCCGACGTGGCATACTCCTAATGAGACGTCTAAGGTCATTTTGGTCCAGATTGTCCCATTCCTGTTGCAACGCAGCAGCAAATTCTTGGACATTGGCAGGACGTTGTTGACGTTGACGTAACCTCTGTCCAAGCATGTCCCAGACATGCTCGATGGGGGAGAGGTCGGGACTCAGTGCTGGCCAAGGTAATGTGGTGATGTTCTGTTGTTGGAGATAACCTGTAACGATCCTGGCCCTGTGACATCTTGCGTTGTCATCCTTGAAGATGAAACGGAGGCCATGACGTCGTGCGAACGGCACAACATGGACTGCCAAGATGTTGTCCTGGTAGTACTGGCCTGTAACACGCCCTGCAACAACATGTAAAGCCGTTCTTCCAGCAACAGTGACGCCACACCCTCCTACGTCTGTCCAAAAAATCAACAGTGAACCTTGACTCATCTGAAAACATCACATTGCTCCAGCGTCGATTATCCCAGTGTTGACGATCCCTACACCAACGACGTCTTGCCTGAATGTGATGATCTCTCAAACAAGGGATCACGCGAGGACGTCGGGCGCGAAGGTGACCCCTATGCAGTCGATTCCGAATCGTCTGGCCACTCACTCTCACACCAGTGTCTGTTTGAACGACGAGCGCTGATCTGATTTGCTGTGATGACACGATTTCTCAAGGCCAAGGTACGGATAAATCGATCCTGGGCTTGAGTTGTCGCCCTTGGTCGACCTGAGCGTGGTCTGTCCTGTACAGATTGTGTATCACGGTATCTGGACCATAGCCTGCTTATGACAGACTGAGAAACATTCATCGTCCGCGCCACAACCGCCTGTGTTGTGCCGATCTGTAGCATGCCAAGGGCACGTAACCTTTCATTTTGGGTAAGCCGACGCATATCAAAATTTGTTTTCTGGTCACTAAAACAATTAAACTGATGTTTCCACCCTGGAATTCAATGCCACAATGACTGTAACATTCAAAGTCAGAGTCGTGCAAATCTTGGGTTGGACCCCCATGATGATCCCAAGCATCACCTGCATTCCATGCGGTAGCTATTGGTGCATTTGGGCGTCACATGTAACTGGAAATGTTTCTTCTGTTAGGTTCTATAGTGACTTTTTTCGTAGTCATTTGCATATTTTAGTATTATGCCCCCAAAATCAAATATCCCCTACTTTTTTTGAATAGTATATATAAAAGTCATAACATCATTAGTTTCCTGTAATATATAAAAGTTATAACATCATTAGTTTCCTGTAATATATAAAAGTTATAACATCATTAATTTCCTGTTACATGTAAAATGCTAAATTTTCTATTTTACCAAGATTTAGTCTAATAGTTTGGATGCAGCTATGGCGAGTGTGACGCCAAGCAGGGTAAGCTTACTCTTTAGGACACCTGTTACCACTGTTCCATAGTATCTCCCTATTATGTAACAATGACGGGGGTGTCACCAGCTTACTCTTCTGGACACCTGTTACCACGGTTTGTCGTGTATTTTGTACACGGTGACAGTTCATTTGCTGGTTACACTATTTTGTCTATACTGTTTTTTTAGGACTTTTGTCTAACAGTTTGGATTGTTCGTACTTGGTTTTATTCTATTATGTAAGATTTATATTAACAACTGGGCATTCCAAAAAAAGCTGAATATCAAAACACGACTTCACAACTGTGCATGGCGTAGGACAGGTAACGCCCCCTAGAATTATTTTCTCTCTTTCCTGTCTATATTTAAGCTACAAATTATATTTATATATGAAATATTTGTCTGACCTAATTATTTGATTTTCTCAAATTTTCTAGTAAATTATTCATAGCCTTTGGGGATCACGTGGCTAAGCGGGTAAGACACTGGCTAGCTAGTCTGGAGGTCGGGTGTTCGATCCCTGCATTGGTCGAGAAAGTTCATCCCGATTTTCCGGAGTGGTTTCTCCTTGTCAGTGATGCAGGACAGACGGCCTGACAAGGACAGCTGTCTAGTCATTCGGATGGGACGAAAAAGCGAGGTTCTGTGTACTCATTGGCGTGCACATAAAAGATCCCTTGGCATTTGGAATTCGATATAAGAGTGGGTCGTAGCACCACTGGCCGGGCAAAATTTCCCTCATAGCACACTGTATGGCATATGCCCGTCTTCATTAGCCCTGGTTAGGAGCAGAACAGTAGGACGTTAAACCCCATTTTATTTCATAGCCTTTATTTATGGAAATTGTTTTAAACTTTTTAAATGATAAAATGTTGTGTGGTTCTGGTTAGAATTAGGTCAGATGACTTTAATTGAATTGAATATTTCGTACGATGAAACCATAAAAGCCTTGTTATTTTACTATTATATATCTATTTTCAGATACTGGTATAACAAATAAGTTGCGTTAGGAACAAATTTTACTCTCGTATACAATATAAAGTTTCATAAATCTACATTTTCGTTCTTTCTTTTTTTTTTTTTTTCAATTAATAAATCATATTAAAAATATTATGTGTTTAGATTCAGTTTCCAAGGAGTAGGGTCAACTGCCCAACCTCATGGGTTTCTCTGCGTCATCCCCACTGCTAAAGACCCTTACTTACTGAATTAAAACAGTGGCGTATGTTAGTCCCAAAATGACCTAGTCATTGCTAAGGAGTAATAGCAAACAATCGTCAAAATTATGCCTAACCCTGTTCATTATTAACCACTTTTCCTGCAAAAAGGGGTCTTATTTGTTAACAGAATGATTGTGCATTTAATAAGGAGTAACCAAACTGTTATTCTACTAAGTTTCATGTTAATTCATTGAAAAACAAATTTTTTACATTGCATTGAAGTCAAATTACCACTTTTTGGACGAGATTTCGATTTTGGACTGAAAAAACAAAAATTAGTAAAAATTGAATATTAAAAAAATTATAAGTCCGATTCTAAAAATTTAAACAGTTTTGAAATTCTAATATTTGGACAATTATTTCTGCCAGGTTGCAAAGCAATTTCTCAAAAAATAAAATTTGGGTGGTACATGCCAGTTTTGTTGAAAATCGGAAATCGCCTACTTACCATTTTTTTTTTTTTTTTTTTTTTTTTTTTTTATCATCATAGCTTGATAATGACTAGAGAAGCCTAGTCGAAACGTCGCTCAGTAAAAAGCAGTAATTGTATTCCATAGAATTGTGACCTGTATACTCTAGTTCAATTACTAAATGCCATTGAAACAGTTTCTTTTGTCTAGTTGAGTTTGTCAATCTGCAGTGACTAAATGAATATGTTTTTTTGTTATAATAAAAACACTTGCTGATCTGTCTCGTCTACAACTGCTAGTCAAGAAAATAGGCATTCATTTAGTAAAGTAGTCGTAGATGTAGTACAAAATGATGTACACTTCCGTCTACAACTGCTAGCTAGGCATTCATTTAGTAAAGCAGTCGTCGATGGAGTACAAAATGATGTACACTTCCATAAATGTTAACGTCACGGAAAAAGAGTTCGTTTCCGGTAGATGGTTGTATAAATGATATAGTGCTGGATCCCTCCAACTCGAATAGTTCACAAAAATACTACCATTTGAAACTTTTTTCGGTAAAAAGTTTTGATTTCATGAAATATCGTCTCTAAATTCCCGGAAATTGAGATGTCACTTCATATTAATGTAGTCTATAGTGCTAAGAAAATATGTTATGTTACTTTAGAGCAATATTACCCTAGTTATTTAAGAGCGATATTGCCATAGCTACTTTAAAGCTATATTGCCCCAGATACTTTAAAGTTATATTACTTATCTACCTTAGAGAAATATTACCATAGTTACTTCAGAGCAATATTACCGTAGTTTCAGAGCAATATTAGCAGAACTACATTAAAGCTATATTATCTTACCCTAGTTACTTTAGAGCAATATTACCAGTACTTGATTAAAGCTATATTATCTTAGCTCATCAGCTATATTATCATAGATATACCATTGCCACTTTAAAGCTATATAACCATAACTAATTCAAATAAACTTATGTGTTTAATGATAAATTTTTCAAGTGACGTTTTTGTTTAAAGATAAATTTTTCTATATTAAAGCTTTATTATCATAACTACTTTTTAGAAGAAGACCAAAATTTTTTCAACAAGGTTTCCATTTATTTTAAATATTTATTCAGAAATAATTCCGTGTATAACACAAGCAAAAAATTTTTTGTAAGCAGATTAATTGAAGTATTTGATTCAACACGCTCTATAGTAAGCATAGAAATTTGGTATATGTTTAGTTAGCACTCTATGATTTTTTACGAGCACTCCAATGTATACACGGGACCTCGGTTTTTCGTCCCATCTGAATGACTAGACAGCTGTCCTTGTCAGGCCCTCCGTCCTGCCCCACTGACAAGGGGAAACCACATCGGGAAACCAATCAAAAGGACAAATATGACCCTGCTGATATTAAATAAAAACATTTATTTGTTTTTGTAAATATTTTATTCTCAAATGTGGATGTACCAATGCTCTAGTCTGTTTTCATAAATATTTTATTTAATTATACATTTAAAAATACCTTAAGACACTGTAAAACAAACATCTTTAACACAAACAATGATATTATAGTTAAATTCATCATACTATAAGATATGTATCTTTAACATAAACAACATTATAGTTCAATCGATCATACTGTAAGATATGTATCTTTAACATAAACAGCGACATTATAGTTCAATCGATCATACTGTAAGATATGTATCTTTAACATAAACAGCGACATTATAGTTCAATCGATCATACTGTAAGTCATGTATCTTCAACATAAACAATGATATTATAGTTCAATCGATCATACTGTAAGATATGTATCTTTAACATAAACAATGATATTATAGTTAAATACATCATACTGTAAGACATGTATCTTCAACATAAACAATGATATTATAGTTCAATACATCATACTGTAAGACAGAGGACAGGGAGAAAATCCAAAATTAATATCACAGCAAACTGTATGGCATATGCCCATCTTGATTAGCTCAGTTTTTAAACCCATTTCATTTATTATATGGAATGTCTTCTTATGCTTCCTTACATGACACTCCCAAAGCGAAGTCAACTTTATTGCCAAGAGTTACTCCTCTTTTAGTCTCGGATAACAGGACGGAATTATTTCAATCATAGCTGATACCGCAATAAGACTAATTTAATGGGTTTTTTAAAAAATCTTCAAATGTTCAAAATATTTTTTTTTTGTCGATATCCGAATTACATTGTCTTTCAAAATTCATTTACCAGCAACTCGAGACTCATGCATTCTAAATTTGCATGAAAGCAAGGACGGTCTAAATCTATTGGGAATATGTTGAAAAATGAAAACAAGCACATGGTCAAATAATGTCTTTTTAAAATGGGTGTAAAAATGTATCCCAATTAGTTCGGAAGAAAATCCCTAAATATTTTAGCTACATCACGATTAAAATGTGTCTTAAATAGCTAAGGAGAAAATTCCTAAATATTTGAGCTACAATATCGATAAACACTTTCCTGTTTCGTATTTATCAGGTGTTTATTGTCTATTTAACCATGCTTGAATTACCCATTAGAAGAACTCAGATTCTAATGATTCAAGCATGGTTAAAGCGAAAATTTCATATTTTCTAAGAAAGTCAAAACATAATTATTTCTATGTCTTTTGCTCAATAGGTTATCAACTCACTATTATACGATCATAGGTGTCATTCTCACACTTAAAACTTATTTACACAGGAAATAACAACACAATTACCTCCCTTGTTTTCCTATTGAAAACAATGGTCAGCCATTTCCTCAACGTTGGAATTTGAAGTTGAAAATGTTTATGGATACCATCTATTTTAAGACTTTATTTTAATAAATTTTAAAAATTTGAAATTCAGCTTTAAATGGACAATAAACCCCCTCTACATAACAAACAGAAAGTGTTTATCTCATAAATATGTCTTCAAGTGTCGCTGCAAATTCCTTTTGGAAGTAAATAATTTACCACAGATATGACATTTAAAAGGTTTTTCACCTGTATGAATTCTCATGTGATCCCTTCGAGTTCCACTCTGACTAAATGATTTACCACAAACATCACATTTATAAGGTTTTCCTCTGGAATGAGTTTTCATGTGATCCCTTCGAGTTCCACTCTGACCAAATGATTTACCACAAACATCACATTTATAAGGTTTTCCTCTGGAATGAGTTTTCATGTGATCCCTTCGAGTTCCACTCTGACCAAATGATTTACCACAAACATCACATTTATAAGGTTTTCCTCTGGAATGAGTTTTCATGTGATCCCTTAGAGTTCCACTCTGACCAAATGATTTACCACAAACATCACATTTATACATTTCTTCTTCAGTATGAATTCTCATGTGGTCCTGTAGACTGACATTCTGACTAAATGATTTATCACAAACATCACATTTATATGGTTTATCGCGTGTATGAAGTTTCATATGTCGCTTCAGTTTACTAGATTCTCCAAATGATTTACTACAAACATCACATTTATATGGTTTATCGCGTGTATGAAGTTTCATGTGTCGCTTCAGTTTACTAGATTCTCCAAATGATTTACTACAAACATCACATTTATATGGTTTATCGCGTGTATGAAGTTTCATATGTCGCTTCAGTTTACTAGATTCTCCAAATGATTTATCACAAACATCACATTTATATGGTTTATCGCGTGTATGAAGTTTCATATGTCGCTTCAGTTTACTTGATTCTCCAAATGATTTACTACAAACATCACATTTATATGGTTTTTCACCAGTATGAATTCTCATGTGCCTTTGCAAATAATTGCTCTGGGCGAATGATTTATTACAAATATCACAATTTAATAGTTTTTCGCTTGTATGAATTCTCATGTGTCTCCGTAGGTGAGCCTTCTGTGAGAATGATTTACTACAAACTTCACAATTATAAGGCTTTTCTCTTGTATGTATTCTCATGTGTGCCTGTAGAGAACTGCTCAGTCTGAATGATTTATCACAAACATCACATTTATAAGGTTTTTCACCAGTATGAATTCTCATGTGTCTCTGTAGACTGCCACGGGAAATAAAAGATTTACCACAAACATCACATTGATAAGGTTTTTCGCCAGTATGAGTTCTGATGTGTCTCTGTAGATTACCTTTCAGACTAAATGGTTTACTACAAACATCACATTCAAAAGATTTTTCTACTCTATGAGTTCTCATGTGCTTCTGTAGTTTACCATTCTTGGTGAATGATTTACTACAAACATCACATTTATATGTTTTTTCTACTATATGAATTCTGATATGTTTCCGCAGACCGCTACTATGAGTATATGATTTACTACAAACATCACATTTATAAGGTCTTTCCCCAGTGTGAGTTCTGATATGTCTCTGTAGATTTCTAGTGTTAATAAATGATTTACTGCAAACATCACATTTATAAGGTTTTTCGCTAGTATGAATTTTGATATGTCTCTGTAGACAACTACGGTTAGGAAATGATTTACCACAAACATCACATTTATAAGGTTTTTTTCTGGTTTGCCCTTGCTGACTAACATGTATTTCACAGTGTTTTTGTAAATCAGTTTCTAAATTAAATTCTTCATCACACAAATTACACTGATAAGATGTCTTAGTAGTTTTCTCTTTTATTAATTGAACATGACAATATTCATCTACATCAGTTTTATCTTCTTCAACATGACTATATTCATCTACATCATCAGTTTTATCTTCGATAACATGTATTTTATTGTGTTTTCTTAAATCATCATGTTGTTGAAAAATCTCATCACATACAACACACTGATGGAAAGTTTTAACATCATTAGTTTCCTGTAATATACAAAAGTTATAACATCGATAGTTTCCTGTAATATATAAAAGTTATAACATCATTAGTTTCCTGTAATATGTAAAAGTTATAACATCATCAGTTTCCTGTAATATATAAAAGTTATAACATCATCAGTCTCCTGTAATATATAAAAGTTACAACATTAGTTCCATGTAATATATAAAAGTTATAACATCATTAGTTTCCTGTAATATATAAAAGTTATAACATCATTAGTATCCTGTAATATATAAAAGTTATAACATCATTAGTTTCCTGTAATATATAAAAGTTCTAACATCATTAGTATCCTGTAATATATAAAAATTATAACATCATTAGTTGCCTAAAATATATAAAAGTTATAATATCATTAGTTTCCTGTAATATATAAAAATTATAACTTCAAACAACATTTGTAACATGTAAAATGCTCAATTGTTCAAAGGTCCATCCTGTAAGATTTAGATTAAATGGCAAGATACACTCACATTTTGTAAGGGATGGATAGAGAACAAGCTAAAAAAAAAAAAGAAGTTATGGTCTGAAATATGCGAATATCAAAAGGAACCAAGATCTTTAGGATATAAACATATATTTTATGTTTCATTCCAATTGGACAAAAATTGTGACTTATAGAGGGTCCACAATCTTCGTATTACATACTTTTACACTATTTGCATTCAAGCAGTGCCTATTTTGTCGAGCAGTTTCGGTGCGATTTTCCCAAAATTCAAACTCAATCATCATCAGGGTGTAACTGTGATATATTTAAACGTTTTTTTTTTAAAATCGGATCATCAGGGTGCAACGGTAATATATTTAAACTTTTTTTTTCAAATTGGATAAAAATATGACTTAAAGGGACTATCCCTTATTTGAACAGAGTCTCAAAAATAAAAGTCTGAGTATGTATGAAATTTAAACGCCAAAATATAGAGTAATGGTATGGACCTTATCTCAAAATTTCAGCTCAAAATATTGAGTCGTTGGGACGTGACCGTCAAAACTGCTTATCCGGACACGTAACCCTTTTAAGATTTCGGGTCAATTTTTTCATTGGGTGACCTGATAATCGATTTTCGTTCATTGAGAGGTATATACAGTGAATGACCTAAAAGCTGTACTTGATAACAAAAGGTAAACTTCACCTACACATTATTTTTATACAATAAATGTCTGGTTTTATCTAGACACAGCATAATGCAGTTTGGGACACCGGTCTCCATTTCCAGATGAAGACTGATGGGTTTCAGTTATTTGAAAACTTATCACAAATATTGATTTAGTTGCTCGGCCCTTAGGTAGAGGATTTTAAGGGATTTTAAATCAAAATCAAACAGTTTTATTTTCCCAAAAATTATCGGGATTAGCCCTTTAATGTACAATCAGGGGCCATAATCTTATATTTGTGAATATCGAAAGGAACTGAGATTTTTGGGATATAAACATGTCTTTAAATTTTCATCAAAATCGGATAAAAATTTTGACCTCCAGAGGTAATTACATACTTTTACACTATTTGTGTTCAAACAGCTGCTATTTTGTCAGACAGTTTCGGTCCTATTTTTACGAAATTCGAACTCAACCATCATCAGGGTGTAACATTTCAGACCTAAAGAAAGAGAGAGAGAGAAATGGGGTTTAACGTCCACCCGACACAAACTAGGTCATTTCGGGACTAACACATGGGTCAATTTTATTTCCATAATTCGCTTGCGCATAGGGGTCTTTAGCAGTGGGAGGAAACCGGAGGACCCGGAGAAAACCCATGAGGATGGACAGGCGACCCAACTCTGTGTCAAAAACAACCGGGGAATCGAAACCACGTCAGTTGACTCAATGACAGACTTTATGATACTGCGAGCACGTGCTAAATATTCAGCCATCCACCACCACCACCACCCCCCGGGTAAAATTGGCCTCTTCCAGAAATGAAATGAAATGAAATGGGGTTTAACGTCCTACTACTAACCTGGGCTAATGAAGACGGGCATGCGCCATACAGTGTGCTATGAGGGAAATTTTGCCCGGACAGCGGCACTACGGCCTACTCTTATATCGAATTCCAACTGTCAATTTTAATGCGTAATATCTTTATATACATCACTATCGGTAATTGTATCTGTATCGGTCGATATATTTCTGTCAATATCCGATAGTTTTATATCGGTAATTGTATCTGTATTGGCCAATATATTTCTCTGTCAATATCTGATATCGGTAAAGCCGATGGTAGCCATATTGGACCATCACTATTCTAGGCCTTTGTATTTGTGTCAACACTTGAGATGATAATACGAGACAACATTTTACATACCAACAGACACGTATTTTATTCACTCGTTAAATATTCATCTATCTTTCTTTGTTTTATATTAAAATAATAATCGTTGTGTTGTTTTGTTTAATCTAAAATCACCTCACCATTATTTTGTTGACAATTGTTTATTTGTGAAGCTGTTGTAACACAGGATTGCTGATCTATCTCTTCTACTACTGCAAGTCAAGTAAATAGGCTTTCATTTAGTAAACTAGTCTTCGGCCGGGAATAAAGTGACGTCAGCTTCCGGTAGTAGGTTGTACACATGATATAGTTCCGGATCTCTCCAACGCGAATAGTTCACAAAAATGCTATTTCATTTGAAATTCCATTTATTCAGTAAAAATTTCTGATTTCATTATCTTTCGCTCTGTTTCCAAAATGTCGCCTGTAAATTCCCAGAAACTGATATATTCCGTTTATTGGTCATATTCAAATATCAAGGATACGTGCAGGATTCCTTAAGGTCAGATATTTCCCTAGCAACTTTAAAGCTATATCACCCTAGCTACTATTATTACCATAGATCTTTTAAAGCGATATTACCATAGTTACTTTAAAGCTATATTACCTTATCCACGTTAAATTATTTCAGGTCAATTAAAGCTATACTACCATTGCTATTGTAAAGCTATATTACCTCAGCTACTTTAAAGCAATAATACCAAAGCTACTTTAAAACTATATTACTTTACCTGATCCTATATTGTTTCAGCAATCTCATATTACTTTAAAGCTATATTACTTCAGCTACTTTAAAGCTATATTACCATACACCTATTTTAAAACTATATGACCCCGTTACTTTTAAGCTTTATTACCATTGCTACGTTAAAGCTATAATACCATAACTTCTTTAATTTAATCTTTTTTGACAATTATTCTGGATTGAACAATAGTCAGGTTCATACATGAAAAATGTAGGCTTAATCCAGAATGACTGTAAGAAAAGATATTCAGAAGCAATTTTGCCCGTTTCTAAAATCTAAATGTGAATTGCACTTGAAAAAACAACTGATAGAAATGTTTCAATAAATATATTGGTTTTTTTTTCAATAAATTAGTATTTTCTGGTTGTTTTGACCAAAGTGAATTGAACACTGAAAACAAAAATTATTTGTCAATTTAAATCAACATTGATGTTGTGATTTTACTGGGAAAAGATATCCTTCTGATATCCAATATTTAAGAAAAAATATACATTTTATCATTGGTACACGAATCGTGTACCATAATGCGTTGCATTTCAGCGCCATTTGGAAAAAGGGACTCGAAGAACAAGGCTAGACACACTGTAGTGCAGGTATCATTGAATCTTGTGTATCTAGAATTAATTTCTTTCACATTCATTGAATATCAAATCTTTATTTAAACATTCGTAAAAATCATTTAAAATAACCCAGAATCATGTAATTTGTTCTTGTGTCCAGTTTAAAGCTCACTTTGATTAACATGTCACGTTATTACTGTTAGAACTAAATCTGACATACAGGCTTATTGATTACTGTCATACAGGCTTATTGATGCCACGTTATTACTGTCATACAGGCTTATTGATGTCACATGATTACTGTCATACATGCGTATTGATGTCACATGATTACTGTCATACAGGCGTATTGATGTCACATGATTACTGTCATACAGGCGTATTGATGTCACGTGATTACTGTCATACAAGCTTATTGAGGTCACATGACTAACTGTCATACTGGCTTATAGATGTCACGTTATTACTGTCAGAACTACATCTGACATACAGGCTTATTGATGCCACATGATTACTGTCATACAGGCTTATAGATGTCCCGTGATTACTATCAGAACTACATCTGATATACAGGATTATAGATGCCGATAAAAATTTAGACATAATTTAGTGATTTGTATTGTTATGTACTTTTATAAACCTGTAACGGTAAATCTCTTTGATCTTTGGGTATATTCTATGCCTAGAATAACTCGTGTTCTGAAAGTCGGGGGCGGCTTTGGATATATACAGGGAAATCACGTCACATTACATCTGCCATACAGGCTTACTGATGCAGATAAAAGTTTCGACATAATTTAGTGATTTGTACTGTTATGTACTTTTAATAACTCATAATAAGGATATACTTTAACAAGAGCATCGCCAACGCTGCTTTAATTGATATGGTACTGTTTAAAATAAAGAGAATGAAATATGAAACGGTCCCAATAACTGTAATATGACAAGAGGCAAAGAAG